TAGACAATGAATGCGCCTGATTGAATTCCATTCCACAGAGTGCGAGGATTGGCAACCTAGTAACACAGAATCCCATCAACCTTCCACAGAGGTACGTGTAACAACAACCACCACCGCAACAACAACTGCACACCACAAATCAATTCCCGCTGGTACCTCACAGACAATACGCAACACAAATCTGGCTAAACAAACACCTGAGGATGATGAAGAGCAACATAGCACAGACCACACACAACAGACCGACAGCTATCCCAACAATAAAACGTCAAGCGAACGAGTCGCATCGATCAGGAATTTGAGTGACGAAATCGTCGGTCCAACAACGGAGGTCGACAACAGTATCCAAACGACCACATCCCAAACGGTGCGTTGGAGCACCGGCCGCTCAGACGTGATCCCAAGTTCAGAGGATGGAAGACCATCCTCCAGTTTGGTAGTAAGTGCGCCCGCAACTCCGAACAAACTCGGTTATTCCATCACCACCACCGCTACCACCGCGATGGGATCAAGCGCCCAAACAAGCCTCCGCCAGACTGCCTCAGAAACTGTCTTGAGAAATTCAGTTCACGCCGGACAATCTGATACTCCGAAGACAGACATAAGCTCCAATACAACAGTGTCATTTTCGACAAGAAATACGGAGGCTTTGGGGAAAGGCGAAAGTGCATTGCACTCTCAAAACGCAACACGAACTGGGACAGGACACAAGACACAGACGACGGTCGGAGTGAATGCGTTGTCGGACGCCAAGTCGGATGTGAGACAGCAAGAAACCAGACCATCGGACACCATCTCATCAGTTGAAACAAGTACTCAGCAGACGAGCGTGACTCAGCAGACACTTCATTCCGCATTGACAACAACCGGTGAGTAATCTTATTCCAGTGTGAATCTCTCGGGTGATTTTTTTGCCACTCAGAGCAAACTGTTTTTGGCAAAAGCCCTTGGAGATTATTTTACCGGAACGATGATAGGACGAGATGTGGACTACGTCAGTCTCTTGTGTTTTCGTTTTAAAAAATCAGCTTAAAGTCACGATCTGTGTTTGATGTGTTCCTCCGACTACGGAGGCTT